GAATGTGAAATTGAGTTATTTTGGGAAGTTGAGAAAAGTTGAGGATAAAATCATAAATATGGAAACGTTGGGAACTTAAATGAAAGTTTTATGTGAAGTTTGGATAAATTGGATAGAAAGGAGTTGGAATGGTTAGCTTGAAGTGATAAAGTCAACATTTATGTTGTGACATGGAAATTGTATCGAATGAGCATCGAAATGTTTTTAGGAATTTATTTTCCATCGTGGGCCTATGTTAGTGAGATTATAACATGTGGTTTGAAATGTATATGTTTTATAATGATGTTCACTTAGATTATGATTGAATTCAAGATCAAACAAAATTAGAGTTAAGGATGAATGTGAATTTCTAAGGTAGGTTTGCAAGCTAAGGACACCAGATGAGTGCATATTTAATTCGTATTTATGCTATCGTACAAACATTGGCTTGTGATGAGCCAGTGAAAGATTTACAATGGTAAGAAGCAACTCCTAAATGTTATGTAATTTATGGTTCAAACATGTATGTTCATTTGGTGATCTAATAGAATTGGTGAATAATTTGAAAATGCAAGTTGGTGAAAATTGCCTAGAAATTTTGTTCTTAATAGTAAGTTTAGAAAATCTCCAAAAACTCTAAAGAAATGATTAAAGAATTAATATTATATGTTTTGATTCTTATTTCAATCTAGTTTTGTTTAGAACAAACGGAAACTGATTTTGAGGAGTGTTCAAAAAGATATGAACTTTTAATCGAGGATAGATTAGAAAACATGGCAGTAGATTTTGCTCAAAACAACTTCTGTAAGTCAACTTTGAAAATTCACTATAAATTGTACTAATTGAACTAGAAGAAGTACATTATATGGTTCGATTTTTTTTCAAGTATAGTTTCCAGTGGTATAACGGAATAATTTTTGAGTTAGTATATTAATATAGAATAATATTTCTTTAAAGGTAAAGCAAACCGTCAGAATATCAAATTATGATTAACTTCTTAATAGAAGTGAATTTAAAGCAGAGGATCAACTTAAAGCATATTGAGGCTTATATTTTTGACTTGTATAAATAGTGTTAAAGTGAGTGTACTTACTAAGCATGTTTTTAACGCATTCTGAAGTATTTTTATAAAGTTTATAAAAATGATTTTATTGAAGGATTTTAGGGTATGAACTGCCCTAAAATAATTGAATGTATTTTACTCTATTTAACATCTATTGGTGTTTTAGAATAAATGTTTAATTTGCATTTTGGGATGCAATAGCCTATTGTATGTACATTGAGAATCATAGGTGCATTTCGACATACTTTGAGTATGATGGTTATTGATCGATTTTGTTTAATGCATTATTGCATTTTCGTACCAGTACTTTGTGTACTTGTAGTAGTACTTTGTGTAAGATGACGCTATGTGTGCAATGATGGTGTTCATAATGAGCACTTGTTAATACCTTGAATAAGGTGGTAATCGATCGATTTTGTTTAATGCATTTGTTGCATTTTTGTATTAGTTCCTTTCTGTACTTTCGAAACTATGTGTGCATTGATGTTTATAATGAGTTTGTGAATTACCATTTCGATATATTAGTATAGTGTTGATGTTACTATGGTACCTATACTTTCGTTTAACACTTATGTGCAATTTATGTACCTTGCATTCTCATTTGTCATACATTGGGGTGTGAATGGATATTTTTGAATAGACCGATTGATAATTATGCTATGCATATGAAATAATGTTTGTAACACCTAAAACACGCATAATTATACTAATACATATTATAGATGTCACATAAATTTCTTAAAACATTTCCTAATTCCAAAGGTGATTTACAATTTTTTTTTCTCAAATTGGTAATTGATAATATAAAAATATTATCTCAAGTAAAACTATCATATGATATTTAAAACATATATATGTTTATTAAATACATATACTCAAAATAATAATACTGATTCATATTATTCATATTTAAAATAACATAAAACGATTTAGTTTATCCATTACAAATCAGTTCCCAAAATATTTAAACATAGCTAATAGGACATTCGTAAGTACATGCCACTAAACTAAGTCAAAATTACATCATAGGATGTCTTACTGATATTGTAGTATATTCCTTGATGCTTTGAGTTTCTCTGTACTCTTTACTTCTAATCATGTCTTTTACCTACACGTGAAAATCATCATATGCTAAGTATATGCTTAGTGAGACAATTAAAAACAATAAACAATGCAATACAACTCATGCATGAAATTTATTGTCATTTTCGAATACCATATGATCACGTTACCTGCATGACCAATGTTTTACCATGATCAAATTAATATAAATATTATCATTTTTACCAATAACTATAGCCCACAAGCAAACCTATGAAGACCCTGGGTATTCGAGTAATATATACACCGTAGTGCTTACACATAAGGTCGTGCCCACCATATACACTTAGTGCCCTTACACACTATAGTGCTAATATAAACCTACAACTGCTATACTTTACGGCATGCCAACTATACCCTGTCCTTCAACGACTTACTTAGGCTTATAGTCTAATTCATTCATTCATGGCATTGTATAACCATATAATTAACTTTAGGGCAGTTCATACCCAAAATAAAATCCATAGTAAAATATCACATTTATTGGAAATTAATGCATTATAATTTCATACTATGACATATCGATGTCATGTCGAAATTATAAAAATGACATAATATCGTTTTGATATAAACAAGGTCAACTTGTCGCAAGTCTTCCTGATGATGTATAGAACATCTATGTACAATGCCATTCATGTATTTCACTCACCTTGACACTTTATATATTCCAAAATATGTGCCTCACTATGATCAACAATAAACCCTTTTATACTTGGCTTGCTTCGATTCACAAATCAATCACGATCTGTAAAAATCCCAAATTCAAAACAATACATATGTTAGTATTGTACTAACATAAACACATCCCCAAAACAAAATCCATAATATACTTGAAACTCATTTTCTACAAAAATATCTAACACTTAATAATTTCTTTTAACGTTGGCACCAACTTTTCCAATTTACACAAAATGATCCTTCAACATTTTATCACATAGATTTTTAATACCAAAATTCCAGCACTGAAATTATTACAATTCATGTGCTTTTACAAAGGCACAATTATATTTAAGCACCCTAACTGTGCAAATGTTGCACTTAAATCACCAATTTTTTCAAACTTTCAAAATGGTCATATTTCACATCTAAACACTCATTTTAATTCCAAAACAGTAATTTCTAGCATAGTACACCAACTATAAAACAATTATACAACAATTCACAACTTTTTCAAAATTGCCAAAGTGGTCCCCCTAACTTTTCAAAAATTACAAAATGGTCCCCAAATTTTTCTAAGGCTTGTAACATACTTCCTACATCATTTTCAGCCCTTATATAATTTTTCTCACTCAAATACATCATGGTCGAATGCTTTATCCTTTAAAACTATGTTTTCATGATTTTGCTCGATTTTGATTCAATTCAAGCATGAAATCAATTTCCAAACAACCTTACAACATCTCTATAATAAAAGCTCTGATCAACTCTCATCAAAACACAAAGTTCTTCAATTTCCTCTTTTGGTCGAAAACTATAGAATAATTTCTAGGAAGTTTGAACATGTTTTAATCATAAATCAAGCTTATATATGAATCTACAACATCTAAATCATCAAGATTCATCATCAATTTCATGAACCCTAGTGTGAACAAAAACCCTAATATTTGGGATTTTTGAAATCAAACTAGTTGAGCAAGCATAATTGGTACCAAAATATAACATTTTTCGAATAGATCATTTTTCTATTTCACGGCACAACTTGAAATCCTAATGAAATTGCTCAAAAATGGAAACCAAATTTTTTTTTCCTTACCTTAGGAAACTCAAGGAAAGCTTGGAGAAGAAGATGAATAAGTTGGCATGAATTTAGATATTTTTCATGCTAAATTTACCTTTAATGAATATTAAATTCATTAAATTGGGAAAAGACCAATTTACCCTTAATGAAACTTCATATTTACCATCCAAACAAGACACCTCAACCTTATCATCTTCTTAAAGTTAAAGACGGACAAACAAAATCTTACTTTACCGATTTGCCCTTGTATTTTTCCAAAAATTACAATCTTACCACTTTAATCCAACGATCCATATTAAACATGGAATTAAATCCTAAAATCCAAAGATTTATATTATTTTACAAAATTTTAAAATGTGGAAATAGTAGTTTTAGTTCGAAATAATCATCCTTCATATTTTCCTAAAATTTTTATTCGATCCGATTTATCGAATTTTTCTTCAAACTTCATCACTTTAAAACTTTTAAAACAAACTTCGTACTAAAATTTTGATTCTCATAGAAACATTATTCTTGAAGTAAACTATTTATTTAAGAGGCCCAAATGTAAATTTTTAAAATTACCATTTTTGTCCCTAAATTTTTTCAAAGTTTATACTTTGGTCACTAAACTTTCAAAATTTTCATTTTGGTCGCTATTCAAAATTTGGGTATTATAATTTTTCACATGTTATGTGAAAGAAATTTGGCTTACCGAGTCAGATTTATGCATTTATGTATATTTTATATGATTTAATTCGTATTTTGATCTTTTATGACTTACTTGTGCTTTAAAATATTTTGCTTACTCTTCTTATGCCTCACTAAGTGTATACTTAGCGTGTGATGATTTTAATGCGTAGGTAAAAGGAGTGAGTGGAGTAAGGAGTTGAGTTTATCATCAATCATTGAAGATTACTTACCGATATCAATAATGACATACTATTGTTATTTTAAATTTCTAGTTGGCAAGTGTACGTGTAAAAAAAAAGTTAGTATTGTTTTAATATGGGGTTTGACACAAATTACAATAAAAGTATATTTATTTATTAAACCATTTTATTTAAAGAAACCAAATTTTACTGATTTTCAAGTACATAAACATCCATGGCAACAAGATCAACAATCCACAAGAATGGCTTAACTAACCTCCATTAAATGTTCATAGCTGAAGACATTTCCACAAGGATTTCCAGGGTTTATAATGACCATTGCAACAGTATTCTCATCTGCAAGAGTCTCAACAGCATTCAGATCAACTGCCCACTCCTTTTCAGGAAGAAGGTCAAAATGGCGGACCTCGAGACCGTTATAGGTAGCACAAGCTTCATAGTAGGGGTAGCCCGGTCTGGGAAGCAATATATTGGCACCTGCAGCGACGGATGGACAAAAATTTTATGTCTCAGGCGGATTTATAAAATTTTAAGTGCAAAAACATATTATCAATAATATATATATATATATATATATATATATGGTAATTTGGAATTTTCATGGGCACCTGGGCGAGCAAGGACTGCTAACGCAATTTCTATTGCTTGAGTACATCCGAGTGTTAGGTAAACGTCATCTGGTGATAATGTGTATGGAAGATCACGACTAAGATAATCTGCAATAGCCCTGATGGAATTCGTAATAGATAAACAGAAATTGCTAGTCAAAAAAAAGAGAGAGGAAATAACAGGAATGAAAAACATTACGAGCACTAAAAAGTTATTTTATAATGCAAAAGAGAAAGTCAAACACACTAACCTTCTGGCCGAAGAAACGCCGACAGTGGGTGAATAGCAATTATATTTAGCCGCCCGTAGGGAATCGATGACGGCATTTTCAGCTACGGCGTCGGTCCTGAAGCTCGGAAAATGCGATGGATCGCCGTGACCAAGAGGAATGACTGGCCTGCTGTCTTCTTTGTTGAGTCCTTCTATCAACATGTTGAGAACTCCCCGGACGGTAACGGCTGAGGTTGCCTTTAGCCCCGTCTGCCCTTCGAAACCCCATTTCTTTGCTCTCTTCTCCATCATCGTCTTCTTGCAATCTACATTGCCAATGACGGAGCTGGTCATGGTTGAGTAGCGGCGCTTGGAGTCGTTGGGCGCCAGAAACAGCCTAAAAAACTTCATCTCGAGCAAGTCCACTAGTCCAAGAGTGTAAGAAAGAGGGGGAAAGAAGGGAAATGTGGGTAATAATGCGATTGCAAAGGGTATAGTCCAAGAGTGTGAGAAAGAGGGGGAAAGAAAGGAAATGTGGGTAATAATGCGATTGCAAAGGGTATAATCAATCCGTGATTGCGGTTGGTAAAAGGGTGAAGGGGGCGGCTTATAATGGACTCGATCCTATTGGGTCACTAAAATCATGGCGAATCAATTTTTTTAGAAGTTAATTGTATAATATCTCTTGTCATCATTTGAAATTAATATTTATACTTTTGGATATTTTAATTCTATTTTAAATTATGATTCTTATTTTAAATTAATCTTCATATTTTTGAATGTTTAATTTCATTTGGTTGCTAAACTTTTGAATCTTTCAATTTGAACACCAAAAAGTTCAAATATGTAATTAGTTTCAACTACAGTTTTACTTAAATTTCATTTTTTTCAAATATATAACAATATAACTCGACCTAATGATTTTATTGGTAAGGGTGTGTAATTCACATAAATTCATAGTTTAAGATGAAATTTATACTTTTAAAAGTTTGAAGATCAATTTTAAATGAGGGTCATAGTTTAGAGATGAAATTTAAATATTCAAGCATAGAAGCCTAAAAGAATCACATAATGAGACTTGCCTAGGGCACAACAATTTTCCCTAAGCGTGCCCCTCCAAAATTTGACGTGGATTTCATTGTTTACTTTAATTAGTAAAGAAAATAGGGTAAATTATAAATTTGGTAACTAAAATTTACTCTCTCTCCTATTTCACTCACTATACTTTAAACATTCTCAATTTTCTTACTGAACTTAATATATTGGAGTTTTTTGGTCGCTCGACCATTAAATAATTAACGACGTTAAAATGGGTTGTTATATAGATACAAAATAACATCATTTTGATGAAAATTTTATTTTTTTTAAAACGACGTCGCTTTTAATACCATTAACTATTTAACGATGGAGTGATCAAATTAGGAGAGAGAGTAAAGTTTACTAATAAAATACCCAATGTATTAAATTCAGTGAGGAAATTAAAAACTTTTAAAGTTCAGTGAGGAAATTGAAAATTTTTAAAGTTCAGTGAGCAAAATAGGAGAAAGAGTAAAGTTCAATGATGGAATTCGTAATTTAACAGAAAAAATATTAAAGATCCTTTTAGTTGTTCCTCTTCTTGAAAACCGAATTTAAGGTGAATATAGGAGGCTAAAAGATGATAAATGGCTTAAATTAACCGATGTCCAAGTTTGATTTTAATTTATACTCTTTTGGACTTTATTGATTGAGTTGATCCATACTTCAATGATCCACAAATCAGATTGCTCAAACAAGAAAACAACAACTCAAACTAAGAATGCAAATTTCTAAAACTCTACTTAGTTTGAATAGGATGATTTCTTAGTCAACTTAATTAATAAACTCTTAGATCTATTAATTGATGAGTGTCTAAGAATGATTATACTATCTCATTCTATGTGAATTCAAACTTTAATATTTATTTTGAAAATATAATATTTCTCAATTCAGTAAAAAATAAATAAAACACTCCCCGATTGAAATCAAAATTTTAAAGTATTCTTCTAATTTTAGTTGAACACATATATAAGATTTAGAGACTACTGTTTTTCTATCAATATATAGATTAAACAAACTGATGATTCTCGAAAAAAAGATAATAATATAGGGTGTGTTTGATAGCAGGAAAATATTTTTTGGAAAACGTTTTCCTCATATTTTTGTGTTTGATAGTTGGAAAATATTTCCAGAAAATATTTTTCGATGTTTAATAGTTGTAATTGGTTTTACGGAAAACATTTTCAAGTGTTTGATAGTTGTACTTGATTTTTTCAAGTAATTCATTTTTCCTAGTTCTTTTGTATTTTTTGTAAATTGTTTTACTATCTGATTTTTCGGAAAATATTTTCCTAACTTTTCCCTTTAGAGTATAAGCATTAAAAATATTATTTTATTTGTAGACACCCGTTTTTGTCCGGGTCTTTTTTATTTTGTTTATATTATTATTATAATTATTATTACTATTATTTTATTATTCTTATTATTAAATTACAAGTTACATTTTTGCAGGCCAATTATTGAGGCCCAGTACATCACAGACCAGCCATCAACCCAACAGCAATATAACCCAGTTGGAACATGACCCGATCCAGCAACCCCAACAACCCAAAGGCCCAATCCCGGAGCCCAACAACCCACCAGATTAGGGTTTCAAACCCTAAATCAGTTTAGGGTTTCAAACCCTAAATCAGTTTAGGGTTTCAAACCCTAAATCAGTTTAGGGTTTCAAACCCTAATCCCCAACTACACAGCCGCCGCTCAAGCCAGAGTCCAATCCCTCAGCCGCACGTTGATCTTCACCGAGCCACCAAGCCGAGGTGTCCCGTCGCCGCCGACTGCTCTCCTGCGTGAACAGTGACCGGTTCCTGTAAAAACAGTAACCCAATCAAATAACAGTGGCCTAAACTTACCCCAAATCTAAAAAAAAAACCCATTAAAATAGCACCCTAAAATCCCGAAAAATCTGGATTTTATTCACCCAACCAGAGAAATCAAATCCTATCTATAGATATCATCATCATCTCACCAGGAATCGAGAGGGAAGCAAAGATAAAAGAACATTAAACGAAAAATAGAAGAAAAAAAATCGAAACAGAAAAAAAAAAGAAGAGAGAAAAAGAAAAAGGGAAACATCCATTCGAAAAAAATAAAAAAGGAGAGAGATAGAGTAAGAATCTTACCCTGGTTTTTGACCACCACCGTTGCTTCATCGGAGCCAAGCGTCCCTCGCCGAAGGTAAAAGAACTTGTCTTTTTTGGGGCTTGTTAGGTTCGAAATCAAAGGATTTATTTGGGTATTAGGTCAGTGTAGTGGGTAGATCTAAGGGTAGAGAGTCTTCTCTGGGTTTGGGTTACTCCCCGTGGCCACCGTTCTACGGTGGCCGGGGAGTTAGGGCCTCTGTTTTTGGGCGAAGGAAGATGAAGATATGAGAAGGGAGAGAAGAAAGAGTGAAACGGCTGATGAGGGGAGTTATAAAATGATTTTAGGGTTTGATAATAACCCTTAAAGGGTATATCTCAGACGTCAAACGACGTCGTTCTGAGACAGGGGAGGCCGAGTGATGGGATTAAGGGCTAATAGCTTATTTGGTCCCCTTATCTCTGTAATCTTGCACGCGTGTCCGTAGCATTTGTGGGTAAACAACAGTTTAGGTCCCCCCAAGTTTCTGTAAGGGTGTAATCTGGTCACTAAAGGAAATCCATGCAATCTTATTTCGAGCCTATAGTTTTATTTTGTTTTGTTTACATCACTAGTCTATATATTATGTAGGTTTTATGATCTCCGGATTTGGACATGTAATTTATGTTTTTCTTCATTTTGGTCACTGGACTGGTTATTGTTAATATTTCTGAAAGTTTAGACATTATACCTTTTATTTATGAAACTTTTATTTTGATCACTATTATCATATTTTGGGTTAAATTTCGATTAATGTCTATTTATTTTACGTTCATTATATTTTAGTCCTTATCTGTTTATTATTACATTTTTATTAAAGTTCGAATTTGGCCCTCAGATTTATGCATCTTCTGTTTTAGTCACTGTTTTGGCATTTGGTTTAAATATTTCTTTATCCTTCATGTCTTTGTGTATTTTCAGTTTAGTTATTTAACTCTTGTTTCTTCGATTGTAGCCCTTTAAATTTCTGTATTTGTATTTTGGTCCCTGAAATTATCATATGTGCTTATTTGGTTTGTATTTTGGTTTGTAATGTTAACTTAGTTTTATTTTAGTTATTTATGTATGAATGTATTTTTACATATTCTATGGTTATTTGTATTATGTAAGTAATGTATTTAATTCAATTTAATGTAAATGTTTATATTTCCAATTGCATTTTATTTTCATTATATTTGATTTTATTTTCAAGAAAACATATTTATAGAACGGGCGTGGAAAGTATCACTTGATCGAAGTGGTACAATCCGATACGACGTTCAAACAGAATAATAAAAATGCAAATTCTTCCTTTTACAAGCTTATAGAAATTATTTTCATTGTTTTTATTTTTTTTGATTAATTTATTTGATGGTCATATTGTTTAATATTTAAATTTTAATCTTTATTATTATTTCTTCATTGAATCTTAATATGAGTGATGTATGTTTTGGAAAAGTATAATATGATGTATTTTATGTTAATTTTCGTCATTATCTTTTAATTTAAAGAGAAAATATTCTTTACAAGTAAGAAATAGACGAGGTAGCTTTCCCGGCGGAGGATTGCAAATCTCGAGATTTCTTATCGAGAAAAGGATTTTTTATTTTCAATAAATAAATCATAATTTATTTATTATTCTATTTTCATAATTTTTATTGTATTAATGGTTGTTATGTTACTATTAATGATACATAAATTAAGCATATTGTATTTTCTACTCATGACGATATTATTTAGTGGTAATTAAAAGATAGGATATACTTTATAGATAAGAAATAGATGAGATAGCTTTCCCGTTGGAGGATTGCAAATCTTGAGATTTCTTACCAAGTGAAGTATTTCTATTATTTTATTTTAACAAATATTCAATAAATAGATCATATTTTTTACTTCATATTCAAATTGTAATTTCCACCATTTACGACGATGTGTAAGCGACACAGTACCAATTTTGGGCGTTGTGGGGGTGTTTATCCTTCCCCACACGTAACCGACTCCCGAATCCATTTTAATTGAATCTTTGGTAAACGCAGACTATTTTTGTCTTAAAAATGATCTTTCTTAAAATTGTTTTAAAAGACGTTTTTAGGTATTCGGCCTACCTAACCCAAAGGTCGATGGCGACTCTATTCAATTTAATTCAAATTAATTTCAAATCACCAATTTTTTTTATTAAAGTCATAATTGTTTTTTTAAAATAAACATAAATAGTTTTATAAAAAAATGGTTATGACAGCTTGGCGACTCTGCTGGGGATCCTAGAGAGTCAGGCTGTCGGTCGCTTATATATGGTCGTAAATGGTGGAAATTATAAGTTCGAATCTTTAGTAAAACTATGATCTACGTATTGAATTTTTATTTATTTTTATATACTAACATTTTAATTGTTTTCATTTTTTCAGATTTTTTAGTTCTCGTTGAGTGTTTTTTTTTTTTTCCTGTTTTTTGAGTCAAAGGTTTGTTTGTTTCTCCTCACACACATCACTCTCATTAGCATAACATGAGCTCTAGACATGAGTTTCGATCCAAATTAGTTAGGGTAATTGCTTTACTCTCGTAAGAATTTATTCTTCGTATGAGTTTTAGCAAATAACCCATGGGATACATACCTTATACCTTCGTAGGAATTTATTCCTCGTATGGGTATAAGGCAGTGAATCCCCTCGAATTGAACTCGGTCCGTTTGAAACCTGTAATGGGTGAGGATTGAGGGTTTGGTAGCCCAAGGGGGGCACTGACATCAAGGACAATTCGAGTTCCTTTGTTTCCTGTTAGAGCTGAAACCATGCATATAGTGAACCATAGAACGGTCACACTAGGTAGAGTCATACTGAACCTCTGTCCGTCAATAGGTACCCAAAATAGGCGTACACAATGGAGAAACCCTCTAACCTTTTTATTTTATTTATTTATTTTTTGAGTATGTAGAATAGATTTATTCTGTTAAAGCATGTGAAATAGAATTTAGGTGCAGTTAGAATTTAATTAATTTAGGAGGGTAGAGAGCATGTTTGGGTAGGACCCTTTTTGAGGATTATTATTCAGGTAGATAATGCATAAATAGAATAGATTTATTTCCTGTTTTACTTATATTTTTATGTTAAAATTATGCAATTGTTTTGACTAACTGTTTTGTTTGTTTTGTTTATTTTTTCTCATACTGCATAGACATATCATTAGAAAAGGCGATTGATCTGTGAGTAGCGATAAAGTGGAAGGACTTTCACGATGGAAAGGAGTTTCCTAAACAAAGAAGTGAATCCAGCAGATGTAAGGAACTGGTCCGAAGCCAAGCAGAAAGAGCAGGGAGATAGTCTATCAGAGAACTACGTGTCGGATCTGTCTGATTATACACCAGCTTCTTTAAAACAGAATGAGCTTCAGGGATTGAAAACCATTTGGGAAAGTTGGAATCTTATTGAGAGGCAAGCTTTTCAGCAGACTTATGGGGATATATTTCATCTGATATACGTGAAGGTAGACCCGGTTCTCATACGAAGCATAATACAGTTTTGGAATCCGGCCTATAGTTGTTTCACATTCAACCGAGAGGACATGACTCCAACCCTCGAGGAATACCAATTTCTGTTGAATTTGACAACCGTTAAAGTGGACAAAGTTTACTCCCGGTCGATAAAAGGGCCTTCCTTTAAGTCAAAGCTTGCAAAGATCTCGGGCACAAGCGACAAATGGGTGAATGATCGTTTGCAACGCAAGGGAGAAAGTGAGGGAGTGCCATGGTATCACTTACAAAAGATAGCTGAAGCACATGTAGATGAAAACGTGCGTAGAGATGTATTTGCTTTGGGTATATATGGTTTGGTAATCTTTCCAAAATGTTTGGGATTGATCGAGCTAGCAGTAGTCGATTTGGTTGAGAAGTTAGGAAGAGAGGTGAATCCAGTCCATGCAATTCTTGCTGAAACTTTTCGATCTCTGAATATATGTAGAAGGTTGGGGGGAGGTCGTTTTATGGGCTGTGCTCAATTGCTTACTGTGTGGATCAGAAGCCATTTCTGGAAGGAAGAAAAAGTCAACTATAACCGTTTTTTGAAAGATTATTCTCCTATTGCTGAGTACCTTATGAAGGAGTGGCCTGAAGTATCTCAGAAAGATCAATGGATTGATTTCTTCCGGAATCTACAAAGTCAAAACATAGCATGGCGAACACCGTGGCTGATGCATACACAAATCTTGTTCAAGTGCGGAGATTTGGACTGGATCATATTACTGGGATTGTGGGGAGGAGTGGGATACGCTCCTTTGTTGATATTGAGACAGTACGGTGCCCGACAGTTTGTTCCCGTGACTCATGGGTTGACTGGTGCTGAATTTGATTATAAAGAAGGCAATTATAGAAAGAAAATCAAAGATGTGGCTGATTCCTGGAGGATGACTTTTAGGACTAAAGTAATTGGAGCGGATGTTATCTTGACGCCCGATTATGAAGCCTAGAGAATTAGGAGGGTAAATGATAAAATACCTTTAACAGCTGGAGAGGGATCAAGGTCGATAGAAGAACAAATCAGAAATATCCCTTCGAATCTGGAAATCCAAAGAATTGAGTTTGAAATGGAAAAGGCTAAAGATTCCAAGAAAATAGAAGAGATGGAGAGAGAAAACTTCATGTTGACTATCGAGGCTAAATTTCATGCCAGACAGTTTATAATGATGAGAGAACGGAAAGAGGAGGTGGAAGCCGATTTAGAAGACTTAAAAAAAGATTATCAAAGGGTGCAGCAAGTGAGAAAGAAACTTGGATCCAGAGAATTAGCGGCTGCAAGACGGCGAATCAAAAGTCTGGAAATTGAGAACAAGTGTCAGATCAAGAAGATAGAAGCTGGAAAAGCAAAAGTATGCGAGCTAGAGGCCGATAAAAAGGAATTGATCAAGCAGTATAAAGCTGAGGCTCATAGAGCTCAAAAACTCCAAGAAGAAAAAGAAGTCAGCTTGAAAGAATTAGAAGAAGAAAAGAATCAAGTCCAAGGGTTAAAAACTGAGATGAACAGTATAATTGAGGACTTTGAGGACAAAGATCGAAGAATTTTAGAGCTCGAAGAAGAAAGAAAGCAAAAGAAAGAAGAGATGTGGTCTGAGAGACAGGGATGGAATCGATTCCTCGATAGAAAGCAGGCAGAGATTGGATCGTGGATGCAGAGATTCTCGACAAAAAGTCAGCAAGTAGATGAGCTCACAGGAGAAATGGGAGAATTACAGATGAGATTCGAACATGAGATGAACCAATCTCGAGCTATGAATGATGAGCTCAAAAGTCATGTATCGAGCCTCGAGCAATCCCTTCTGCAAGTGCAAGTTCCTCCCGCTTCAGTGGACCTAAGAGTTGCTCTCGAAGAAAACAAATCCTTCCAGAAGGAAATCAGAGAATTGAAAGGTGAACTCCAGAAATGCCGAATTCATATTACCAGTCTAGAAAAAGAAATCAAACGCATCAATAAGGGATGGGAAAATACATATGAGCACTATCGATCCTTGGTAGAAGAACGCGAGCGCATGATGGGGGAAGCTATTGCTCAAATGGGTGAAGTGGCTCGGTACATGAACGAATTAGCCAATAGAGCGGAGATCATCCAACTGCGCACAAATCCGGTTTCTGAATATACAAGGGAGATCATCGCCATTATGAACGAAATTGTAGAGCTGAGTCTGAGGGCTAGGCCTTATATGTAATAGAACTCCTTTGTAATGAGTGAAACTTTTTATCCAATGAAAGTATTTCCGAATGGTTACTGCTTGGGTCAACGCCTTTTATTTGCATTTCATACTTGCATCATTCATTATGCATAAGAATGTTCATCATTTATAATGCATCACCAATAAAATGTATCATTTATAGCACATTACCAATAATATGCATTCGAATTTAAAAGAACAATAAAATTAATTTCCGAAGGGTTATATGACAGACGATTCTGGCAAGTAAGAACTCCAATCCTTATCACACGCGAAGTAGAGCCATGGAGGCCAAGCTTGATCAGTTAAAGAAAGAAATGCAAGAAGATTTACTAAGAATACAACAAGAATGGCAGGCAAAGATGGATCAGTCACAAAAGTCAATTATAGATCAAATACTGCAAAGCCAGGCTAATATGATGAATGAGATGATGACCAAGATGTCTGGGTTACGTACTGAAACAGTTAAAGAACCAAGCGCTGCCCCTGTTGAAGTTTCTAGGCAGGAGTCTACCCCGAGACTAGTTATCTCACCTGAAAAGTTAGGGGAACATCCTGCAGGGTCTTCAGCTGTAAAGGTTCAAATGGCCACGACTAACCCTCAAAACAGTCCTTATGAGTATATTGATGTAGATCCTGAGGAAATGGAGAAACCTAAAACGGAAGTACCGGAGTATTTAAAGGACTGGTGCAAAGGGTTTTTTAAAGAAATGGGAAAGCAGGGTTCTCAAGACGGAATGAATGCAGAGGAATTGAGTCTTGTGCCAGACCTAGTATTACCACCAAAGTTCAAAATGCCGGAATTTGAAAAGTATGATGGAAAAACTTGTCCTGTTGCTCACTTGACCATGTTTTGTCGAAGAATGACAGGATTCGTGAAGGATGATGGGCTATTAATTCACTGTTTCCAGGCCAGCTTGACGGGGTCAGCTGTCAGATGGTATAACAAATTAACCCGAGCTAAAATAGGGTCGTGGAAGGATTTGGCCAATGCGTTTAAAGAACAATATCAACACGTTACCGATATGATGCCTGATCGTGTTACTCTCCAAAATATGGAGATGAAGCATAATGAGACCTTCCGACAATACGCTCAGCGCTGGAGGGATATTGCTGCTCAAGTGCACCCACCGCTTATTGAGAGGGAGTTTATAACCATGTTTATAGATACGTTAAAATCTCCTTATATTGATCATATGTTAGGAGTGGCAACTAAGAGCTTCTCTGATATCGTGATGTGCGGAGAGATGATCGAGAGAGCATTAAAGAAGGGGCAGATTGTCGGTAGCCAGACTCCTGCAAAGAAACCCTATGTGAAAAGGAAAGAAGGAGAGGTGAATAATGTAAATTTCTCTGTGAGTAAGCCGAAGATGGGAAACTCTTCTTCATCTCAAGGAGAGACTAAGCGCGAACATAACAATGAAAGGATGACATTCACTCCCATACCAATGACTTACAGCGAGCTCTTCCATGGATTAGTCCAAGCTCACGTAGTGTCACCAAAATTCATTGATCCAATTAAACCACCTTATCCAAAATGGTTCAACGAAAATGAGACATGCGAATATCATGCAAATCTCAGAGGACATAACATTGAAAAGTGTCTCGCTTTTAAAAGAGTGGTGGAAGATCTGATCAAGAGAAAGGTGGTGTCCTTTAATGATTCTGAAGCACCATGTGTTGCTGCAAACCCGCTTCCAAATCATCAGAATCAGGGAGTAAACGTTATTGAGGAAAATCAGAGAGTTAAAAGGAGAATTGAAGAAATAAAAACACCACTGAAGTGGGTATATGCTCAAATAAAGGAGAGAGGATTGTTGAGCCCTAGAAATGAATGCTCAATGGAAAAAACAGAGAACTTTTGTGAATACCATGGTGAAAATGGTCATCAGATTCAGGACTGTCAAGAATTCAGGCAAATAGTCCAAGAATTAATGAACAAGCAGGAGTTGCAGTTCTATGAAGAAAGAATGAGTGAGAATGAAAGATATATCTGCGCTTCTGAAGAAAATTCAAGGGAAGCCGAAAAGAATTTAAAAAAGCCTGTCCTGGTCATATCGAAGCCAAATTACGAGGCCAGCAGTGGAAGTATAACATCTAGGGTGGTGATCAAAACCCCTGCGCCTTTTGCCTATAAGAGTAACAAGAGTGTTCCCTGGGACTATACATGCCAAATTAATACTCCTGAGAGTAAGAAGGAAGAGGTTGCTGAAGTTGGATTTTTCACCAGGAGTGGAAGATGCTATGCTCCTGGAAAGGCTGATAAAGCAAGAGATGTGGTTATTAAAGATCCTGAGGATAAATTGAATGAGCCTGTTAAGATTGAGGAGGCTCAGGAATTTTTAAAGTTTCTGAAACACAGCGAGTATAATATTGTGGAACAGCTTCATAAGACCCCAGCGCGGATTTCAATGTTATCTCTACTGTTGCATTCGGAAGTACATCGAAATACTCTGATCAAAGTGCTGAATGAAACTTTTGTAGGGAAGGATATACCAGTGGAACGGGTGGACAGGATGGTAAATCATATTAATGCAGATAATTTTATTTATTTTTATGATGACGAAATACCTGAAGAAGGAAAAGGCAGGGGCAAGGCTTTACACATTACGGCTCATTGTAAAGGAGTTATCGTCTCAGGTGTATTAATTGACAACGGATCGGCCTTGAATGTTATGCCATTCGCCACTCTAAATAGACTTCCTGTGGATGTATCACAAATGAGGGTTTGTAGCAATGCTGTAAGGGCATTTGATGGGACGGAACGCAAGATAATGGGGAAGATGATTATCCCTCTCAGAATTGGCCCTACAACATTTGAAGTAGATTTTGTTGTCATGGATATTCATCCGAGTTATAGTTGCTTGCTAGGGAGACCCTGGATTCACATGGCTGGGGCAGTTCCTTCCTCCCTTCACCAAAAGCTCCGATTCATTGTTGATGGGACTCTGGTGACCATCAAAGCGGAAGAAGATATCATTGCCTCTATCACTACAGATGCACCATATGTAGGGGTAGATGAAAATGCACTAGAGTCCTCATTCCAGTCCTTGGAATTTGTTAATGCTACTTTTATTTCTGAAGGCAAAAGAATTCCCATTCCTCATCTTTCAAAAAATACAAAGATGCAATTAAAGGAGACCTTAGCTAGAGGAGCAAAGGTAGGGAAAGGCTTGGGAAAGAAATTGCAAGGAATCACGGAAGGATCGGCTCCAGTTCCTAAAAGAAATTATTTTGGTCTCGGATACAAACCAACGTACCATGATAAAGTCAAGGATGCACAAAAGCTTAAAGAAAGAAGGAAGGCAAGAGTAAAGGGAGAAGATCTTGTTTGGGGACCCATGGTCATTCCACCACTCTCCAAATCTTTTGTGTCTGGAGGATTTGTGATTGACACGCTGGAACAGTCAGGAGATATTGAAGATACAGAATTTGTTGAAAATTTATTGGGAAGCCTGAGCATCAACGTTATCACAGAAGATTCTACTGGAGAGTGTTCATTGGCATTAATTCGTCCGTGTCCTCCTGGCTATGTTTTGAACAATTACACTGTTGAA